AATTTTGTTGTTAACACAGTAATTTAGCGAGAAAAAAAATTAAGAAAAAAAAGAGTCGCCGGAATCTGGCCGGACAAAAAAAAATTCATAAAAGAAAATATTTTTTCAAAAATTATAAAAATGGATGTTAATGTAATATATTTGTTCAAATACGGGGTCAATGAAGTTGGTATTGATAAAAAAAATATATTATGAATGGTATTTTAAACAAAAGACATGGATCATTTGCTAGACTGTTTTTTATGTGGACCAATGTGCATTTAAATCCCTTGTCACGGATTTGTTTGCCATTCGCCAAAGAAAATTATGGTTGTACAAAATTTTGAACATTTCTTACCAAAATCAATTTAAATATTGCTAGTGGGATATCTTTCAAAGATTTCTAAATATTTAAACATTGAATATGACTGACAAATCTTGAATAAAATAGGCAACTGTAACTATATAAATTTAAAAAATAATATAATGTTAAGGAAATTATGTTTGGAATTATTTGAAGATATATTTAGGAAGACTTTTTCAATACTGATAGTAAACAAATATTTTTGGAACAATCTTCAAAAATAAGGAATGAATTTTTGAAAATATTTTTGGATTAAAATTAACATTGTTTTTTTAAAAGAAAGAAGATTTTTTTAGGCATAAGACGCCAAACTTGGAGGAAAAGAGTAAACTCTTCGGTACAAGGCATATCGTGCATTTTTGTGATTGCGTTAGCTAAACAGTTGCCTAGTCGCTTGATAAATAAAACATAAATAGATTGAAAGATACGAGAAATATTTAAAGATTCCTCATTAATCTTGACCACACCGAGGAAGCCATGTTACGGGCCAGTTCATTGTAGTTTGTCGAAAAGTTTCCATTAAGTGCGTCAACCATAACTCGAAATTAGCATGCTGGCCTAGACGAACATTTTTCAAACGGTGGTGAGACCGCATTGTACTCATACTTCGACATTCCGTTAAAAAGATGCATAAGGGATTCAATGTTACCACAAGTGCAGCAGCGTGGAGAGATAGAAACTTTCCACCTAAAAAGTTCCATTGCAGTTGGAAGAATATTCATGTACGCTCGGCACAGGAAAATACGGATTTTCGAATATTGAGTTTCCATATACGTTTCAAGAGGGTAGATTCGCTTCCACCAGAGTGTTGTCCATCTTGACCCCCTTCTAGTATCCATACCATCTCTAGCAAGGATAAGACGATAGCATGAATTGAAGTGTAGTGCCAAATTCTCTTATCAACTGTGTTCTCTCCAAAAATAGCCACCGAGAGAATTATATTCTGATCGATCGGCCAGAAAACTTGGTTGATGAGATAAATGTTCCATGCATGAGAGGATTGTCAATTATGTATGCCACCTTGTCCGGGAAAGAGCTATAGATCGGCCGTTTGGTAATGACTTGAAAGCTGCCGTCGTCTACGATCCATTGATCCTCCCAAATGGACGTAGTAGTTCCATTTCTAATTCTAGTCCTAGTCCTCGCTTGTAAGTGTCGTCCTGCCGCCAAAATTTTTCTCCAAGTAGTTAATGGTCGATAGCCACTAACAGTCGAGAAGAAGTCGCAATTTGGAAAATATTTAGCCTTTAAAACCTTGGTCAGGAGGAGGCCCAGTCGAGAAGTGAGTCTTCATCCCTGCTTTGCCAAAAGAGCTAAATTAAAGCTCTTCATTTCCCGAAAGCCAAATCCGCCCACAACCTTGGGTGAGCATATTTTTTCCCTTGAAAGCCAAGCCAAACCCTTACTTGTCCCATTCCCCCACTAGTATCGTCTAATCGCCGCTTCAATCTCCTTCAACAAGCCACTAGGTAACAGAAAACAGCTCATGATGTAGGTTGGAATTGATTGCAGAATTGATTTAACTAACACTTCTTTCCCAGCTCGAGATAACTGTTTTTTACCCCAACCTTTAATCTTAGCCCAAATCCAGTCTCGCAAATAGCCAAAAAATTCTCTTTTGTTGTGTCCCATCGAACATGGCATCCCAAAGGTACTTCTCGTGCCTGTCCACGACCTTAAATCCCAGAATTTGATTGATAGTATCCTAAGCGGCCTGTGGAATAGATGGACCAAAGATCATTGTTGATTTATGAAGATTGATCTCATGTCCTGACGTGTTGCGTATTTGTCGAGGATATATTTTAAATTCCTAGCATCCGCTTCCTAGGCATCACAAAAGAATAATGTGTCGTTAGTGAGACAAAATTTGCGGCGGGTGGAGCTGTAGGGGGCAATACGGATGCCATGAAGTCTCCCTTCGCTCATTGCTTAGGCTGTCATAGCAATGAGCATTTCAGTGCAACATATGAAAAGATAGAAGGAAAGAAGGTCCCCTAGCCGAATTCCTCTCGATGGTGTAACCAAAAGTTTAGCTCATTAGGCCCATATTCTACAAATTTAGTCTAAATTTTTATGGATAGTTCTAGTAGATAAACCATAGCGATTAGATTAGGATAATCTAACCATTGACTAGTGGGGTCTTTTAGTATAACTATGAGTTTTACCACTCATTTTGCATTAATCCAAAAATTTGAAAGCCTTCTATGTAATACAAATTTTCCTACTCCAAAAATTCTCTACTTGCTCTAAAAAAACATTCTCCATATTCACAATACTTAATTAGCTGTATTTTTACAAATGTGAAGAATAATTTGAATTCCACCTATGAGGTTTAAGAAAAATCAGATACGGAAAATTGGAAATCGGAATGAAAATCAATGAAATCCAGAAGTTCTATTTTCTCATTCACATATATAATAACATATATACTAATACTGATATTAAGTGTAATTGTTTTTAAAAACATGAATTTTCAAAAATTAAAATCAAATTGAAAACTTGAAGATCATATGTATTCCAATTTCGCTATAAAAAGAATTTTAGAAAACCAATACTTTTTGGATATCAGAGTGAAAAATATTATTTTTTGCTAGTGTTGTAATGAAAAAGGAATATTAACATGAATTTTGATTTCTTATTTACACGCAGTGGAAAAACCAATATAGGGCCACGGGTGGACATGGGACTCCCTCAAATTTTAATTTTTTTCACTACTTCATATGTATATATAATTTATTGACTTTGTATTGTGCTATTATAGTTTTTAACAATTTATTTTTATACAAAAAAATAAAATTAATTATTTTTAGCTAAAGAGAACAACGAAAATTAATATATGAGTCTAACAAGTTGAATAAGGAAATTGTGCTTGGAACCAGGCTGAGTAGAAGTGATAAACGAACTGAGCCGACTTATGAACTCGACGAGTTGGCTCGACAAAAGCTCGAGTTGCCAAAATAGGCGAGCTCGACTAGTTCACGCTTCTAGGCCGCCGAGTCCACTATCAATTGAAAAAAAATCCACAATATTATATCTATATATTTATTTAGTCCACCCAAAATTCAAATTAATTCAGAAAATGTTCTAAAACTTTTTTTTTCCTTTTTTGTTTCCTATCTTTTGGTTTTGGTTTTTTTTTTCTTTTTTTATTTACTTAATACTTAATTGTAACCATTCGTGTTGTTTAATAATATACAGTTACACTAACGCTCATTAGGAGGGTTGGTATCTAACTTTTACCACTAGGGTAAAGGTCTAGAGTTCGAGTTCCCCCGTCCTTTACTTCCCCTTATAATGAACTTGAATTTACTAAAAAGAAAATATATAAAGGTACACCCAATAATCTCTTTGAGTGAATTGCAAATATAGGCTTATACATTTATTTAATCACTAAAAACATTCAATGGTATTTTTGTTAATTTTCAGATAGTTATAATGGATTTGGGGACAATTCACAATAAGCTAAAACACTCATACATATAAGGGGTTATGTTAATACAGTAGAACCTCGATAAATTAATAACTTCGCTTAAATAATAGATTTTCCCTGTCCCGACTCGGGGACAACGTACTAAATTAATAATTCGCTAAATTTATAAGATAATACACATTCGAAAATTTTAAGAAGCCCAATGTAATGTATAAATTAATAGTGCATAAAAATAATTCTTAAATTACATGGTACAATACATATTTTATTGATCTATGAAGGCTTAACACAATATAATTTAATTGTCGCTTGTTTCTTGTTGAAATTCACATTACCATCAATCCCATCCCTCACTTTTCTTAACATGGTTAGAGGCTCCGTATAGTTTTCTCATGACTCAACATAAATCGTTCTATATCATTGCTGCTTTAAGAGCTTCCCGTCCATGAAACAAGTTCTATAGTGTATTGAACTAATAGTACAATGAATAATATACACGTAAAAAAATAAAAAAAATGTATTTATTGAAAATAATTATAAAAGTAATTTCATAAATTAATAATTATTAATTAAATATAAATTAATGATTATTAATTTATCGATAAGTTAATATTTTGCTAAATTAATGAAATTTTAATGATCTCAATTGTATTAATTTATAGAGGTTTAACTGTGTATTAATAAGTGATGACTGATGAGGATTTTTAGCAATTTGATATAACACATACAACAGAACTTCGATAATTTAGTACTCGATAAATTAATAACCAAGTTTAAATAATAGATTCTCCCAATCTCGACTCAAAGAAAATATATTAAATTATTATTTCAATAATTTAATATTTCACTAAATTAATAAAATTTTGTGTATCCCAACTGTATATTAATTTATAGAGATTCAAGTGTAGGTGTAAAATGCAATTTACTCAATACAAAATGCATGAGTATGATGATATAAAGAATTTGTAAAGTATTCTAATTAATAACAAATAAATTTGATATTTGAAGGGTTTTTTTTCTTTTCTTTTTCTCTTTTTTTTTTTTTTTTTTTGATAATTTGATATTTGAAGGGTTTATTTTAAATAAAAAATAATCCCAAAAATAGATTGAGAAGGAAGAAGAACAGTGCCATCTTCATACACACACCATACTGAATCTGAATTTTTGGGGTCAAAAGAAAATAAAAACTAAAAAATTAATTCACATGCAAATAAATCGCCATAACCAATGACCTCTTCTCCCACAGCCCACAACAAAACCACCACCGCCACTCCATTCCCAACCCTCCTCCACCACCACCACCACCACCACCGCCATGGTGAGCATCAGGCATCAAACCTCCCCCTCCTCCCTCCGTCGACCCCACCGCCAAAGTCCCCGACCCGGGCCGGGGACTCCCCGGACAAGAACAACAACATCCTCCTCCACGCGGTGGAGATCGAGGCGGCGGCGGCGGAATTCTCGCCGGGGATCAACGTGCCGCCGTTCTCGTGGAAGAAGCTGTGGAAATTCACGGGGCCGGGGTTCCTGATGAGCGTGGCGTTCCTGGATCCGGGAAACCTGGAGGGGGATCTCCAGGCGGGGGCGATCGCCGGGTACTCGCTGCTGTGGCTTCTGCTGTGGGCCACGCTGATGGGGCTCCTGATCCAGCTTCTGTCGCTCCGGCTCGGCGTCGCCACGGGGCGCCACCTGGCGGAGATATGCAGGGAGGAGTACCCTTACTGGGCCGGGCTGATGCTCTGGTTCATGGCGGAGCTGGCTTTGATCGCCGCCGATATTCAGGAGGTGATCGGCAGCGCCATCGCTATCAATATTCTCAGCAATGGCTTCTTGCCCCTCTGGGCTGGCGTCATCATCACTGCTCTTGATTGGTCAGTCTCTTCTTTTATTCTTTTTTTTTTAGAGCAAATTACAGCCACACTCTAAGTTATGGCCAAATTACCAGAAAAAAAATCCTCTTGTTTGAGTAATTACGGCCACCCCTCCTTATAAATATTTTAACATAAAATTTGTGTAATTCGGTTATTTAGCGAAGCAAATCGTATATTTAGTACGGTAAACATTATGAAATGTTGGCTTACCGAAATTTTGGTTCGGTTTTTACCGAATTAACATCCATAAATTTACCTCTGGAGGGGTCTTTTCATAACACAATACATAATTAAGGAGGTGACTGTGATACCCAAGCAGGAGAGGGTTTTCGTAATTTGAGCATAACTCAGGGGTCGCCGTAATTTGCCTTTTTTTTAATTGCCTATTTGTATTCTTAAAATTATTAAATTATAAATGTTGATACTTGATAGGCCCATATAGTTTAATACTGAAATATTAAAATTTACTAGTAACTAGCCATGGTTGGAATGAGTAGTGGCGGAGCCAGCATAGAGTCAAGGGGCCACGACCCCCAACATTTCTCAAATCACTATTAATTTATATAAAAAAAAATTATTTTTGTACAATAGCATTAACGGCCTGTTTCATAATTTTTTTAATGCATTCGGTCTCACGAACTTAAAATCCTTGCTCCGATGTATGTGCGATGTGCTATATGTTGTGCTTGGGGAGTCTTACTATATTATGATATAGATAATGTGTAAGTATTGATTTGAGTACTGCGTTCATTAATTTTCTTCTTGTACTTGAGTTGGATTTCATTTTAACTCTTATAATGCAATTACTAACTATGAACCTTGATTCTTCAAGAAGGATGCTAATTGCGCAGTTCATTTTTTGTTAATTAACTGAAATAACACTCACATGGTAACAGTTTCATCTTCTTATTCCTCGAGAATTACGGAATCAGAAAACTCGAAGCCTTCTTCGCAGTTCTAATCACGAGCATGGCGATCTCCTTCGCATGGATGTTCGTCGACACAAAACCTAGCGGAAGAGAACTCATCGAAGGTGCTCTCCTTATTACTATTGCCTTAAAATAAAATAAAAATTAAAAAAATCATTTTCCAATGCAGGTATGATAATACCTCGTCTCAGCTCGGAAACAATCCCGAAAGCGGTTGGAGTAGTCGGGTGTGTAATAACACCGTACAACGTGTTCCTTTACTCCGCCTTAGTCCAATCAAGAAAAATCGACCTAAAAAAGAAAGGAAGGGTACAAGAGGCGCTAAATTACTACACGATCGAATCGTTAATCGCCGTTTTCGTCTCGCTTATAATAAATCTATTCGTCACGACCGTATTCGCAAAGGGATTTTTCGGTACCCCGCAGGCGAACACTATAGGGTTAGTGAATGCGGGCGAATATCTACAGAAGAGATACGGTGGAGGGGTGCTTCCGATCCTCTACATATGGGGTGTAGGGTTGCTTGCCGCGGGGCAGAGTAGCACCATAACAGGTACCTACGCGGGTCAGTTTATCATGGAGGGTTTTCTTAACCTCCAGATCAAGAAATGGATGCGATCGTTGATTACGAGGAGTTGCGCTATTTTGCCTACTATGATTGTTGCTATTGTTTTTAATCGGTCCGAAGAATTGCTCGATGTACTTAACGAATGGCTCAATGTGCTTCAAGCCATGCAAATACCCTTTGCCGTTGTTCCTCTTCTGCACTTGGTTTCGAACGAGCATATTATGGGGGGGTTTGTTATTGGAACTACTATTGAGGTAAAAAAAAAATTATTCTTTTGATTTGGGTTATTATTATTTATTTGTTTATTTATTCATTTATTTATTTTTCGGGTTTTAGAGAATAGCGTGGGGTGTGGCTGCAGTGGTGATAATGATAAACGGATACGTGTTGGTGGATTTCTTCATGTCGGAAGTTCGTGGATTTGTTTTCGGAGGTGTTGTGTGTGTGGGAGCATCGTCGTACATAGCGTTTCTATTTTACCTTATTTTTCGGGGCAAAAGTTTTATGTCGTGTTTCGGGAGATCGAGGGCAGATGGATTTGCTTATCTTAGAACTTAAAAGAAAAAAAAATAGTTTGTGTGTGAGGAAGTTACAAAAGTTGTTCTTGATTGTAAGAAAATTGTGTAATTTTCTTTTTTCTTTTTTTTTTTGGTGCTTTGTATCATGTAATTTATATGTGTAAGTTTGTATGAGGTTAATGCTTAGTGCTTACTTGTTAGACATATATGATACTAAGTGATGTAGTTACATCCTTCAATTTTGTTTATTCTTTGTGTGAGATGGTGGAAGATAATGTAAAAAGAGAAGATTGAATAGTTCTTTTATTTTATTTTATTTTATTTTTCATCACAAAATTATGTGCAATTTACGGTTAAAGATGTATACTGAATAAATTTCGCTCTCGTAAATTGTAAGTCTTGATATTTAAATTGCAACTGTCATGCTATATAGATATATGACAACCTTAACCTAACAATGTTGGCAGGAAGAAACGAACTCGGTTATTAGATGTTACACGATCAATAGGATTTTGATGATAGTGAACCGGAGGAATAGAAATGGGAGCAAAAATAATAACTAAAAACAAAAAAAAAATAGTGATATTTTGTGTTTTAAGAAGAAAAAAAATATGTGTGTATAACATAGTAATTTGTAGTTCTAAGGGCATGTTTATTATATTCTACATTTGGTGAATTTCTTTGGGTCGAAGGATGATGATAAATTATACAACTTTCATATTTGTTAATTTCCAATGAATCAGATTATTAGATGATGAACGATTTTAAGTTTATGAAAAAATAAAAGAAAGACAAATTTAAGTCTCTTCGAATCCCACAAATAGGTGACAGGTAATTTTTTAGGCAATTTATAAATAAGGGTGTAAAGAGCCAAAAAAATTGTAATTAGAGGGTGCATTATGTTTTTTTTTCAATTTAAGGGTGCAAAGTCCCAATTACCTGTATTTTTCATGAATTTAAATGAGGAGTTGACGGAGAATTTATACGACCAAAGATGATATAAACACGTTAAGTTGGAGAAGAAAAGATAAACCTTGAATAACTTTGTTACCATATTTTTTGCCTTATTTGAAGGATGTAGAAATCTCACTTAAATAAATTTTGGGTCTATGAGATGTTATACCTGGTATAATGCACTGGGTGGTTTTGAACCGTCGATCTATATAAATAAATATCCACTAATTCACAAGTACACATGAATCTGGTGTTATTATGTGTAAATCAATGGCTTAAGATTACCTAATGTATTTCTTTAGCTGATTTGAAGGATATATTTCAACGAAAATTATATCTAGTTTTAAGGATATGTTAACCCAGAAAAAATTATTAAATTAGATATGTACAACAATAAGCTTCAAATGTGTTTCTTAAGATTTCTCCAGCAAATTTTTTTTGTTTAATAAGATTTTTTATTTTTCTTTATGACTTGTAGACGAATATTTGACTATTCAACTAACCCTAATTTTCCATTAAATATATGGATCCTAAATCCTAACATCTCGTGAGACCACGGATATTTGTTTAGTAATTTTCTAAAATTCGAAAAAGATTTATCACGGTTAATGGTGGAAATTTGGAAATCGGAATGAAAATCAGTGAAACCAGAAGTTCTATTTTGTCATTCACATATATGATATAGCATACATACTATTACAAGGGTAATTGTTTTTAAAAACATGAATTTTCAAAAATTCTAATCAGATTGAAAACTTGAATATCCTAATATGTATTCCAATTCCGTTATAAAAGTAATTTTCAAAAAACCAATACTCCGAAGTTTTGGGTATCAGAGTGAAAAACATTATTTCCAATCGAAAAATTTTAAGATCGGAATTAGGGTTGTCTTCGATATTTATGTAACAAACGCGCAATTTTTCTAATTCTTGGTAGTAGTGCTTGAGCTCTGTATTGTGATTTTGAAATGTGTTCAAAACTATTTTAATGAACTAAGTTGCTTCCCAAGCTAGTGTTGAAATGAAAAAGGAATATATGAATAACATGAATTTTGATTTCTTCAAATTTTAATTTTTTTTCACTACTATATATGTATATATAATTTATTGACTTTATATTGTGCTCCTATAGTTTGTAACAATTTAATTTCATAAAACATAAAACTAATTATTTTTAATTGAAGAGAATAAAGAAAATTAATATACGAGTCTAACAAGTTGGATAATGAAGTTATGAATAGTGGCTTGGAACCATGCTGAGTAGGCGTGGTAAACGAGTTGAGCCGACACGTGAACTCGATCAGTTGGCTCGACAAACGCTTGAGTCTGTCAAAATAGGCGAGCGAGCTCGGCTAGTTCACACTTCTAGGGCCGAGTCCACTATCAATTGAAAAAAAAATCCACGATATTATATCTATATATTTATTTAGTCCACCCAAAATCCAAATTAATTCAGAAAATGTTCTAAAACTCTTTATTTTCCTTTTTTAGTGACATTGTCCCTGAACCCTCAAAAATTCAAACTAATCGCTATGTACGAAATCTTATACGCTCCACTCTTAGAACAATTATGAAATACTCATTAATATTTTTTTACATTATTTTTTAATATATATATGACCCCCAATGATCATGGTTTCGTCAATGCTTACACCTAAATAAGAATAGAAGAAATTTGAAAATGAATTTCAAATTCCCATCTTTATTTAGTAATGGGTCAGCAAATAACTACCTGAAGGAAGGAACCTGGAAGTTGCAAGACGACGCCGTATACGCGTTCGAGTTTTAACGCATGGAAGACTGACTTCCCATCAATTGCATGCAGCCCCACTCTATTTTCGTTTCCTCACTTGACTATCTTCTTTTTTTATTCCTAATATCATTATCATAAATATTATTGACTTCTTTTCGTGTTTTTTTTTTTTACACGTCCGTCGCTAAACGTTGATCGTAATTGTGCTATCACTGACAGTAAATTAACGTAATTATATTGTCATGACACTTAATTAACGTAATTGTACTGCCGTTGGTAATGCATTTATGTAATTGTTCTGCCGTTGACAGTAAATTAACGTAATATTATTATTTTTATTTTTTGTTATTTATTTTTATTTTGTTTAATTTGTTGACAAGTCAACGTAATTATATTATTGTCGTTGTAAAATAACTTTAAACACAATAATAGTACTCCCAACCACATTCATATTATTATTATTTTGAGTTTTTTGTTTTGTTTGAGCTATTGACGAAGTAACGTAATATTACTTCTTTTGACTTTTTATTATGTTTACACTTGAACGGTCAAATAGTAATATTACTTTATTACACAATAATAATGAGTTTTGTTGTGTTAATATTATTGTGCTAGAGATTAATATAACAATATTACTGTGTTAAACTGTAGTATAGTTAATTTAACTGTGATTAACAGTAATATAGTTAATATTACTGTCAATCACAGCAATATTGCTGTTTAAACGAAGAAAAAAATGTTACAGAAAAAAAATTAAAAAAAAAATCAACGCCGGAAACCAGCGAAAAAATCCTGAAGAAAAAAAATCGAAAAGTCAACGCCGGAATCCGGCGGCAAATTTTTTTTTTTTTTAAATTTTTGGGTCAAAATTGAATAATTTGTGAAATTTGGGGTCAAATTGAGGTCAAATTAAATTAAGGATGAAATTGGAGCATATTAAAGTATGAGGGGCTATTTTAGTCTTTTACAAAAATTTGGATCATGTGTGGACTTATTTGTAAAGGAGTTTTTTGTGTGAATCTCTTCATGAATAAGTACCCATTTATGGGCTTATTTGTAATGACCCATTTAAAATATATTTGTGAAACTAGTAGATACGTTATTGCGATAGAATTCTAACATAATATTACTTTTAGCTAGTGGTGGAGACAACATAGAGTTAGGGGGTGAAATTGGTCCTACAACATTTTTTACATCATCCATAGCTCTTTGTTGTCTCCACCACTTCATAAAACTAATAGCCCATTAGAACTCTATCCCGATAATATATTCAATGCATTATCCCATTAGAGCTTTTAACTATGTTTCAAGAGGATGAGTGTAATTATCGATACATCATTGACATTTTAAGTTATTTTGGTATACCTTAGGGGTGTGAGTGTAATTTATCCTACTAAAAATGAGAAAACTATTGAAGTATTATATAACGTTGCCTTGGACGTGTATAGCCATGCATTTTGTTGTGCACATGTTATTGATGTTAATATTAATTTAAAATGATATTATTATTAAGGGATTATTTGATAAACTCTCCTGTTAGCCTTCTTTAATTATAATGAGTCCAAAAAAATTCTTACTTTTAACTTAAATCCAAAACTACTTTAATTAATAAAATTTAATACATTTTACTATTATACTCTTCTTCCTATTTGACATAGTCTTTTATTTAATATTAATTTATAATTTCTACCAACACTATCAAATTCTATGCCCACGTTTCGATTTCTCCCAAACATTTTTCTTCTCCCAGCCCCTTCTCTTCATTCTCCATCGCAGTCACCCCCTTTCCTCTCTCTCCACCGCTTACCTTGCGATCTTGTGCAACCACTGCCGTGCTCCTCTCTTTTCTCCCTCAAGCGGCAGCCCAACATCCCATGACAGCGGAGGCCTTGCATCAAAAATAATTGAAGCGGTGAAAAAAGATTTATGGTTGGTGGTGGTAACGATGACGGGTTTCTCGATTTTGGGGATCTGGACAGTATGGCGGGGGAGATTGACCTGCCAGATGTTGATTCTCTCAGTCATTTCCCAATTGCGTGGCTTGCATTTCTTTTTTCCTCAAATATTTGATTTGTTTATTTTATATACTAAACATACACAAAGGCATGTAGTTTGATATGTTTATAGTGGATTTTCATAATGAAATTCGTCAATTACATAGTAGTTTTCGTTAATTACATAGCGGTTTCCATTAATTATAGAGTGGTTTTTCTTATGAAAAAAATCGGAAAATAAAAAAAAGAAATAAAAACGAGATATTTAGAGTTGATTTGAGAGGGTTGTTTGAGGCATAAAATCTAAAGCGTGATTTGGAAACATAATTTTTGGAGAAGATTTGGATATAGATTAGGGGCATGATTTGAATATATCGACACAATTTTTTTTAATTTATTGAAATAATGGCATATAAGATATTTTGGATTAACATAGCAAATAACATTTAAAAAAATGGATTTATCCATAATTCAAAATTGAACAAAGGTTTTTATATTTTATTAATCACTAACTAAGGTCTTTGGACTTCTCGTCTTCTCCTATTCTATGAGAAGCCTCGAGTTCCAATCATTTTAACATCAATTTCAAAAATAAAAACTTTAAAATAATACTAATTACAAATTTTGTTACATTATTGAAGCTTTTATTTGCTAAATACTATTTTCGACTTATTTTTAATTCTAAATTTTAACATTTTCAAAGAAATTAAAAGTCCATCATCACACAATTAAATTTCAATAAGAATAATCCCTTCTTTTTTCCCTTTCTCTTGTTTTGTTGTTAGAAATTCCTAAAATTTAGAAAAACTATAAGCCGTGATCCAAAAAAATAGCCTAATGCATTTTAAAAGCTGAATTTAAAGTTGTCTAACGTTTTGAGAGCGGACTTACATAGACCGTGTCAATGCCAAGTCTGCTCCCAAAATAAGAAATTTATTTAATACGTCAAATTTCAAAATAATAGCGTTCGTTTTTCAAACCGTGGTCAATGCTTAAACGAGTGCTCGACCGATGGTTTAATGTGTGAACCGCGGTACGCATAAAATAATAAATCGCAATCGATTTTTTTTTATTAATGTGGGGTTTTTAACTTTAATTTGAAATATAAAATATGCTAATGTTTAATGATATTGTGGATAAATTTGAGTTTTCAAAGTTGTTATTTAAAAAAAAAAAAAGAAAAATCACACAATTTTTTATTTTTTTTTCTATTAAAATCACAACATTTAATAAAATGAAATTCACTTAAAACCCCTTATAAATAGAACCCTCATAAAACCCTTTTAAATATCTTCAATGCAAAACACGCACAAACAACACACACTATTTTCTCTCTCTCTCTCTCTGTGTAACGGCGATGGAGCGAAATCCCTATTCTCGGCCGTCTCAGCCGCCGGAGAATCTCTCGACCGCCTCCCCACGACGCTTTCCCTCCGCCGAAATTTACCCGCAGACCCATTTGATGACAGGCCCTTACGCAGCTTCCGAGGAAACCATCGAATCCGCCTTTGCCAGGCTGGCACCCTACGCCCAAACGACGTCGTTTAACGGCCTCCACTACGCCCTTCACGCCGCCGCCTCGGCGGCGGAGCCACTCCCCCCACCCATGGCGTACGAGGGAGAAATACAGCGGGCTTTGGTTTGGGCCCAGGCCCAAACCGCCAATGGCGGCGGTTTCAGTGGGCCCCACAGCTTCCCCGGGCCCCACCGGCAAATCAACGTGGGCCCAGATGCGGCGGCGGCCGGTTTTCCCGGGCCGAACCCGCATCTCCTGTTGGCCCCCACCCAAGATTCGATGAATTTCCACCAAAGGCGGGATTTTTGCAACGCCGGTTGCGATGACTACCGCTGCTCTTCCTTGCATGGCAAGGAACCATACCCACAACTTTCAAGAAACACCGGGTTTCCATCTTTGCCCCTCGATCAGCAGTACGAGTGGCGGGCAAAGCAATTAACCCCTGCAAACATGAGGGGCAAAATCGTCTCGCTAGCGAACGATCAAATCTGGAGCCGTGCCCTGAACCTAAAACTCGAAACCGGATCGAGCAACGAGCTAATCGAGTCGATTCTGCCGGAGGTGATGGCATCTTTAGGGGATCTGTTGAGGAATCAATTCGGGGGCGATTTCGTCCAGAAGCTTTTCGTTTCGTGTTGCAACGAGGATCAGAGGACTAGAATCATTGTAGCCCTAACCAAATCCCCACCCCAGCTTATCAGCATTTGTCTCAATTCATTGGGGTACATTAAAATTAATAAAAAAAAAAAAATCGAACTTTTTTTCGGTATTTTTCGCAAGATTTCGTTTAATTTGAATTTTCGTCGAATTTTTTTCAGGGCTAGAGGAGTGCAGAATCTGCTGCAGCATTTGACTACACCTCAGCAGATATCGCTCGTTGTATCTGCGTTGGGACACGGGTGTATCGCGTTGGCCACCGATCCGAACGGTTTGTATGTTATGCAATTCTGTGTTAACAATTTTCCCGGGGAATATAATAAGGTAAAATAGTAATTTTTTTATTATTTATTTTATTTTAGTTTACTTGAATTGCAGTGTGAAACCGTAAATATATGTTCTTATGTTGAAATGGGATTACATTGTTTTAACTATTTACGGTTTACGCTTGTGAAAAAGTATATATATACTAAGAATAGATGGAAAAATATGACTACTTTTTACTCTGTCAATTTGTATGGTGAGAAATTCGCATTTGTTTCGTTTACCTGATTTTGTACTAGGAATATGTTGTATGAAATTTTTTCCTTTACCGTATTTGGATCGATTGTTTTAGCTTAAGTTGTTGGGAATTTCCTTTATCCCGTTTTCACGGCTTCGATTTTAAAACAAATATGAAATTTGTGCAGGGTACACGTTACTTTTCGTCTATAATTGTTGTTTTACTTTTTACGTTTGTATTATTTTACATCCGTTTATTTATAAAGTTATTTCATGCTTTTTCGGTGGATAGTCAGAACGAGATGATCTCGTTAGACGAAAAAATATATGTACGTTGAAGCTTGTGCTTTAACAACCTACATTTCGTGTTCATGCCTACTACTAATCCCACATATATAATAAAAATGAAAAAAAAAGAAAAAAGAAAATTGCACCACCTTTTCGTGACGGGATGATACGACTTTTTGTGGTATGTAGGTTCGGTTTTTTTCCCGTGCGTGACTTAATAAAAAAACGTATTTGTTTGACCTATTTTTTATCTCATTGCATGAATCACTTATTTCCGTTTATCTCATATTGGATTCCAAACGGACAGCATGTTTTCAACGTGGTAGCAGCAAACTTCTTTAAAGTCGCAACACACAGAAACGGATGCTGCTTGTTACAATCGTGCGTCGAGAAATCTCACGGAGAAACGAGAAAAAGATTGATTGGTCAAATATTAGCTAATGGTGTCGACCTATCTCAAGATCCTTACGGGTATATAAATTCCTAATTTTTTTTTAATTTTTTTTTTCAGATTTACTTCACTCGATTATTATCTCGGCTAATACCTTCTTTTCTTTTATTGATAAGAAACTATGTTGTGCAACACCTGATTGGACTGAGGATTCAAGAAGTGACAGAAGATCTCCTTAGAAGATTCCGAGGGCATTTTTGGTATTTTTCGTGCGATAAGTTTGCGAGCAATGTGGTCGAGAAGTTTTTGACGGAATCTGGAGAAAATATCTGTGCAGCAATCATCAGGGAGTTGCTTTCGAGTCCGAATGCATCGGCGCTTTTGCTCCACCAGTTCGGGAATTTCGTCGTACAGTCGGCTTTATCAGCATCAAAGGTATGATCTTTATTTTTTTGTTTAGTGCCTTTAAGTTATTAGGAAATATTTTTAAATCGGAAAATTACGGTTCGGGGAGTGGTGGTGGGATTGATAAAATTGATTGAATTGGTTAGGATTAAATCATGTGTAGTAATTTAATATTTGATTGTCTTATGTTTGAGATTTGTGATTATACAATCATTTTATTTGGTAATATAAAATTGGATATTCTCAGTCAACATTTTTTTAATATGTAGAGGTCCCATTAGTTGACATTAGTAACACAACACAACACAACACTAGTCACTTGTCTAGTCAACATTAGTCAACATAATAATAATAATAATAATAATAATAATAATAATAATAATAATAATAATAATAATAATAATAATATAATATAATATAATAATAATATAATTAAATAATTTTGGGTCTTAAAAAACCTGAGTGCTGGCAAAACAAGAAGAGCTTAACTCAGATTGTGTACAGTAGCAGAGGTTAAGTTTGAACTAAATATCCTTATTAAAATGCGGGGCCCGTTTTTTTTTTTCTTTTCTTTTTTTTGGGCAAAGCTTGATTATATTGTTTAATGTTCACTAAACCTAATACAATAAGGCCTTGTTTGGTTGGGGAGATTAACCATGATTAACTAAACAATTGAATCTTGGTTGATGTTTGGTAAACCCAATACCTTCTCGGGGGACCCAGAAATATTATGCTATCATGTCTTTTTAGGGAGCTTTTTTGTTAGGCGCCTCGGGGTCCGATAAAATAATCGGGTTTTGATTAGATTATTTAACCTTATCTTAGTTAATCCTATCTTGGCAACCAAACGATCACTAGTACTACTATTTCTCAAACAAGTCCTTAATGGACAATGAATAATGTTCTAAGCTTACTGAGAATACTTTAGGACGAAAGATATTTAAAATCTTAAAAAAAAAAAATTGGATTTTTTTTTCTTTTAATTTTGACGTTCACTAATGGCCGTTTGTTCCGATTGTCGAACAACAGGGGCAAGTTCGTGATGGTTTGATTGATCTGATCAAACTGAATGCACCATCGATGCAAAGCAACCTGTACGGTCAAAAGATTCTTGATTGGCTTGAGAAGAGGAGGATTCCGTATAATGTCTAAACGTGTTGTACAAAAATCGAAGGATGTTATAACATTAAGGTACCCTTAGATGTGTATTCTACTTCTGCCCAATTCATTATTTTCTGCGAAAATAACACTCTTTTTGCTTTTGTTTTCAAAATTATTACATCTCTCCGGTGTAGCTCTAGTTGTTGTCTTTTTTTTTCTTTTACGGAACTAATCATTGTAGAGAATGTTGTAAAAGAAAAAAAAAACCCTGCTTAGGAATTGCTGTTGAATAATCGAACCAGCCACGACGTGTTGTTTTGTGTTGGAATGTTTTAGTTATGGTTTATGTTGATTGTCATTTGAATATAGTGCGTTTTTTTTCGTATTACTTTCGATTATTGTTTTTTAATTTGGGAGTTGTCCCATTGTCTTTATGTTGAAGAAAATGGGATCGGTTTTTATGGACTGGTTGAGAGTTGAGCGAAAAAAGGAAAATGATGTATGCTAATTTATGATATTAATTTTCTTGATTTAGGGTTGATTTAGGGTTGAGCACATGATTTAAGGAAGGAATTCAAAATGTTATGGATTTGAATTCATAAAAAATAACTTAAAATAAGAGTTAAAATAAAATTTGTTGTCGCTTTGAGCGGATATGAGGAAGTTAAAAGGTTTTTGGTCGAGTAATGGGTTTAAGTTTCTAGAAATGGATGGTTTTGTGTCGGGTTACGGGTCTTATTAGAACCGCCCCGTATAAATATATTATGTTTAACAAGTAATCCGTATATAAATTAATTTATGATTTCATTTACTGGGCTTTTAATTTTCATCGTATCTATTCTCATTTATCTCTTGTCAAACACCGCTAGTCGTCTTGCCTTTTGAATTTTATTTATTATAGAATTAAGTATGCAATTAGTTAAATAATTTTATTGTTCACTTTATATCACCTTTAGATGTTTTTTAAAATATTGTATTTTAATTTTGAGATTCTTTTGTTAGAATATAGAAGCAAAATATTTATGGAAGTTCAAAAAATTAAATCTTTTGTTTGAGGTAACCGGGTCAGAACTGTTTAATTCGACTAAGGGATGGAGGTCTAGAATATAAGCTAAAACAAATTGGGGTGGGTCTAAATTTTATATATTTTTGTGCAACAGTTCTCGAGTTTAGATAAACCCATCTCAGAACCTACCCGCTGTTGTCCCTAATTTTTGGGGTTAAGAAGCCAATTCAAACCAAGATTCCCCCAATCATATTTGTGGGGTAGAATGTTTTTTTCTCAAGATTATTTTAATGATAAAAATAAAACGAAAATAAAAAGATATAAGATTGTCCACTCAACAATTCAAATAGAATCAAATAGTAGTAATAGCATAACATATATATTGAAACCATGCCCAATCAAAGAAAGACATAGGATACATAAAATAAAAGTTCAATTATTTGCTTAGATATAATAATTATTAATTATAATGACCACAAGAAATTAAATCATCACTTCACTTTTTGTGGTATTAATAAAAATAAAAATAAAATTAAGGGCATTTGGGGTGGCCTTTGGAATTCTTCTTGTCCCTATAGCAAGGGCACTCGTGCTTGTTACCATAAGTACCAGAAGGCACACATTTGCACTCATTACAGCATATTCCACAGTATTTCAAGCATCTATCTTTCACCCCTGCCTTTGAACACCTCACTGCACACTTCTTCCCACAATACCCTTCTCCTAGCACTACCAAAAAAATAAATCAATAATTAATAATAATAAAATGAAGAATAAAACAAATTTAAATATTAATTGATTTACCTCGCTAAAGGTTTTTTAAGTTAATTCAAGAATATATATATACTAGCATTTATTGCCGTGCGATGCACGGCTAGCATTGCAAAAAAAAAAAAAAAATTTAAATATATGATGATTAAATTATATTAAAAAAATTACACTATATTAAGATAATTAGTTGTGAAATTTAAATTACCAAAATAACGTTAATATTCCTACAATTATGATCATACAAATTCCAAAAAAAACACATAAATTAACCGAGTCATCTGACTTCCATTTAGTTGCTATCCATGAGAAATATTAACCGCAAAATAAATTATTTACAAAAGAAAATGCTATATTCGAGTGGATTAGGATTTTGCTAACCAATTGGGCAAATCTGATTTGCAATGAAAATTATTAGAGAAAATTATGCTGGAAAATAAGAGTGTGATTAATTTAAAAACAAATTACACATATGCCATTAGAATTTTCTAGAATGTTGTAGCATGTATATATATATATATATATATATATATATATATATATATATATATATATATATATATATATATATATAAAATAATGATCTTGGAAGAAATGATGAGTTAGTTACCTGCTGGAGAGTGTGCCATAGTGGAGTGAATAAGAGAAGAAGTGAGGACAAGAGTGACTAGGAGCAATGTTGCAAAGAGAACCTTCATCTTTACTTTTTTGGATTTTGTGTCTCTCTGTGTATGTGTTTAAGAGAGAGAGAGAGAGATCTAGAGAGAGAGAGAGAGAGAGAGAGAGAGAGTGATAAGCAAGCTGAGAGATGAGTGTGTATACAGTATACATATATATATATATATATATATATATATACAAGTTGGGAAGGGTAATAATTGTGTGAAAATAAGGTAGGTAAAGGAACACATAAGTATGAGCTTTTGCTTAAAGCAAATTAATTAATCAACGGTGGCAATACAGACTGTGATATGCCTAATTGGCCCAACCCAATGCGCCTACAAATTATTTACTTACTGGGCCACGAGCCCAATATCGAAGACCACTATCATCGAGGCCCAATCACCTTCAAGCAAGGCTTGGGCCCGACAATCTTAACTAAGCTATAAATACACATTTGAACTCATTCGATAAGGTACATCTTATTAACTGAGCAATACTACAATACGTATTCTCTGGACCATTTCTATGATCAGCACGTCTGACTTGAGCGTCGGAGGGGTTTCCGCCGGATCAACCCCCGGCGTAGTTCACGTGTGTTCATTTCGCAGGTACCTCAGGATCATCAAGTTGTCAAGCTACTGATCTGCTTTGCTCTCCCAGTTCATTTTCTACACCACCCCAGATGATCTACATTTTAGCATCATCATTTTGGCACCGTCTGTGGGAACGATGCAAACCGGATCACGTAGCCAACAAGATCCTCCTGAGGCGTCTGCTCGGAGAGAAAATGACACAGCTAACGACCTCCCACCTCGTTGAGGCTCTGGCTTGCCACCTCCTCCACATCCCATGGATCCGCCTCGCGAGGTTCAGGTGATCCCCCTCGGGACCCACCACTCGCCGATCCACCACTCCCTGCTCCTCGAATGGTTCAAATAACCGAGGATGACTCAATATATCGCCACGATGGGAGCAGATGCTCCCAACGCGATACCAGCACCTGCTCCACATGTGGAGCCACCTATGGCACCACCGCCATCGACTCCCTGGGGGCTTACATAGCCACCTATGGCACCACCGCCATCGACTCCCTGGGGGCTTACATCTGCCCCCAAAATATTTCGCTCGCCAAGGGTTATCGACTCCCTGGGGGCTTACATCGCCCCCAAAATATTTCGTTCGCCAAGGGTTATCGACTCCCTGGGGGCTTACATCTGCTCCCAAAATATTTCGCTCGCCAAGGGTTATCGACTCCCTGGGGGCTTACATCTGCTCCCAAAATATTTCGTTCGCCAAGGGTTATCGACTCCCTAGGGGTTCACATCGCCCCCAAAACATTTCATTCGTCATAGCAGGAGCCAACGCTCCTCCTCGTGAGGCCCCACTGGGTCCTCAACATGATCAATTTCTACTTACTTCTCGAACGGTTCAGATAACCGAAGAAGACCTTCAGCGTATGATCACGGAAGATTCAACTCGTGCTGCCACTGAATCAGTGGCACCATATATCGCTAAGGTGGGGCATCTCACCCCAGTGGTTCGTGATCGCCTCATCCTAAATGGGGGGCTATCCCATCCTAAAGTTGGGCATCTCATCTCAAGGGTGGTACATCCACTGACCTTTCATCCCCACGGTGGTGCACATCCCATCTCAAGGAACGAGGATAATCTCCCTACTCAAAAAATAGAACATCCCAAGGGGGCGCACATGCCATCTCAAGAAACGAGGATAATCTCCCTACTCAAAAAATAGAACATCCCCAAGGGGGTGCACATCCCATCTCAAGGAACGAGGGTAATCTCCCTATTCAAAAAATAGAACATACCAAGGGGTGAACATCAACCACCAAAATAAAATAAAAAAACGGTAAAATCGCGCACGCGAGACCCCAGAAGAAGATGAAGAAAAAAGAAAAAAAAAGAAGAAGAACATGAAAAAACAGAAGAAGAAGATGAAAAAATAGAAGAAATAAGAAGAAGATGAAAAAATAGAAGAAAAAAGAAGAAGATGAAAAAAGGGAAGAAGAAAGAAGAAGAAGAAAAAATAGAAGAAAAAAGAAGAAGATGAAAAAAGAGAAGAAGAAAGAAGAAGAAAAAAATAAGATGAAAAAATACAAGAACAAGAAGGAGAAAAAAAAAAGAGTAAAAGAAGAAGAATTAGAAGAAGAAAGAAAGAAGAAAGAAGATACAAAAAAAAAAAAAAAAAAGGTGCAGCCGAGCCGAGCCGCGCGGCTCATACAAAAAAAAAAAAAAAGGGCAAGGTTCCCGAGAAAAATAAAAAAACTTGGGCACGATTCCCGAGGCGCGCACGACGCGCTTCCCGAGGCGCGCATCCGACACGCTTCCCGATGCAAAAAAAAACGGGCACAATTCCCGGAAAAAAAAAAAAAAAAAAACTCGGGCATGATTCCCGAGGCGCGCATCCGACACGCTTCCCGAGGCAGGAAAAAACGGGCACGATTCCCGAAAAAAAAACGACCACGGTTCCCGAGGCAAAAAAAAAAAAAAAAAATAGGCACGATTACCGAGGCGCGCGCGAGTACGACTCCTGAGGCGCGCACACTTCACGCTTCCCGAGGCGCGCATCTGGCACGCTTCCCGAGCCAAAAAAAAAACTTGGGCCCGATTCCCGAGGCGCGCATCCGGCATGCTTCCCGAGACAAAAAAAAAAAGGGAAAAAGTGAATAAAGCAACATGTTGCGTCACTCTCGAGGAAGTCCCTATCAGCTCCTCATAAAATTCTTAACAGCTCCACACTCTCTCTCTCCGTGCATTAGATGCGCGCATGCCTCCCCCCATGTGGGCTTATGCGCGCACGGATTCCAAGTGCGCGCGAACTCAGGCACATCAGCGTCCTACAATGCGTGCCGCCTCTTCTACCTCGTAGTGCGCGCATATCTGAGGTCGCGCGCAAATCTCAAAATTCTACCTCAAATCACGTGAAGATTTTGACGCCCTTTACTAAATCGCGCGAGAATTTCAATGCGCTCCACCAAATCGCTTGATAGTTATACCTCGCTTAACCAAATTGCGCGACCTCTTCAACGCGCCTACCAAATCGCGCTCGCTATCAAACGGATAAATAAAAAATATTATTTCTCCACGCCACGCCAACGATTAAAGAAACACTACAACACCGATCTACTCTCGACACGATCCGGTACCATTTTCGACGTGGCTCCCACATCGTCTCGAGAGTGGGGGGCTTGCGAGACAACTCCCACGAGGAGCCAACTCGCTCTGTACTACCACCCGCAGCGAGACAACTACCACGAGGAGCCAACTCCCTCGGATCTCATACCCACAGCGGGATAACTCCCACGAGGAGCCAACTCCCTCGGGTCTCATAACCACAGCGAGATAACTCCCACGAGGAGACCACTCGCTCCGTCCCACAATTCGCAGCGAGACAACTCCCACGAGGAGCCAACTCGCTCGGTACTACAACCCGTAGCGAGACAACTCCCACGAGGAGCCAACTCGCTCGGTACTACAACCCGTAGCGAGACAACTCCCACGAGGAGCCAACTCGCTCGGTACTACAACCGGCAGCAAGACAACTCCCACGAGGAGATAACTCGCTCAGTCATATAACCCGTTGCGAGGCAACTCCCACGAGGAGTCAACTCCCTCGGGTCTACGAACCCACAGCGAGATAACTCCTACGAGGAGACCACTCGCTCCATCCTACGACCCGCAGCGAGGCAACTCTCACGAGGAGCCAACTCGCTCAGTACTACGAACCCGCAGCGAGACAACTCCCACGAGGAGCCAACTCGCTCGGTACCACAACCCGCAGCGAGACAACTCCCACGAGGAGCCAACTCGCTCGATACTACAAATCTGTTGCAAGGCAACTCCCACGTGCAACCACCTCGCTCGATAATATTACTCACCGCGAGACAACTCCCATGAGGAGACAACTCGCCCGAAATTCACTATATAATCGCAAGCTCAAGTTAGCACAATTTATCTACATAGCCCTAGAAGCACTTAGAGATATTATGAGAATCTATATAGCCTGGCCAGCTTGATTACTCAAATTTATCTACTTGTTTTCGATAGGTCATTTATTAAAACGTGGCCACGGTCCAAACATACTTAAGACCCACGAGGTCTAACAAGGGGCACGACCCCCATAAAAAAATCTTGAGAGTCTGATCCCCTCCTCAAGTACATCACACACAAGGCTATATGTAAACACATATAAGCAACGCGTCAAAACATTGACAATGTCGAAAAATAACAACTCCCACGAGGAGAATACTAGCTCCGTGCTACTACATTATCCTGAGACAACTTCCACGAGGAGATAACTCGATCAATTCTATTACCCCAGAGACAACTCCCACGAGGAGATTAATTGATCCGTGCTACTACATTATCGTGAGACAACTCCCACGAGGAGATAACTCGATCAACACTATTACCCCGCGACGAGACAACTCCCACGAGGAGATAATTCGCTACTACATCATCGCGGGACAAAACCGACGACTCAATTAACTTACATCGCGACAACTTGGTCGCGCTATGCACCAATGCGCATTCACGCCCCTCCGACACACGCTCCAACGCGTTATCGCACATCATCGACTACTACAATTTTTACTCTCGACACGATATGTCACCCATTTCAACATGGCCCCCACATCGACTCGAGAGTTGGGGGCTTAATGATATGCCTAATTGGCCCAACCCAATGGACTTACAAATTATTTACCTACTGGGCCACGAGCCCAATATCGAAGACCACTATCACCGAGGCCCAATCACCTTCAAGCAAGGTTTGGGCCCGACAATCTTAACTAAGCTATAAATACACATTTGAACTCATTCGATAAGGTACGTCCTATTAACTGAGCAATACTACAATACGTATTCTCTGGACCATTTCTATGATCAGCACGTCTGACATGAGCGTCGGAGGGGTTTCCGCCGGATCAACCCCCGGTGTAGTTCACGTGTGTTCATTTCGCAGGTACCTCAGGATCATCAAGTTGTCAAGCTACTGATCTGCTTTGCTCTACCAGTTCATTTTCTACACCACCCCAGATGATCTACATTTTAGCATCATCAGACTGCCAGGGTGGTTTTTATGTGATCACAGTATATATATTGTTTTTATTTCTTTCTCTTTTTTTC